TGCCCCCATATAGTAAATATCGTATTTATTTTATATCACTGTGCACATTGGTTACAGTTGAAGACTTCTCAATGAAGAATTGTATTTGACTATGATAAAACGTAGTTGTATATAACACACCAAGCTCAAAACGTCTCTGACTTCAAACAATGGTTTATTTCATAACGTTTCGGGGAGATGTAAAACCCCCTTTATCAAACAAAAAACTAAAATGGATAAAAACAAACAAATATCAGGGTTGCTGTACTATAAGGGACACAATGTATAAATACACTCTAGGTGTGTAGTAAAAGCAAATAGATCAAGAACTTTCTAGCCAAATTAATATGGATAAAACGTAAGTAAAGTTGTAAAAACTAAGAAAATTGCCTGCTACTAGTGTGTACAGTGATGTCAGTAAAGTACTGAGAAAGTAATTAGAAACTGAATAACAACAGGTCATGAATAATTATGAACAGAAGGTATGAATGAGGCGCCCTCAATAGTCAAATAAAGAATTACAAAATATGTTCTTCTCTTCTGTTCATGACATAGCATACATAACATTTGATCAAACTTGAGCGTACCCTTCATGCGCACAGTGCCTTAAATCGTGTTTCATCCAAACTTACCTAAAACGAAAGCAATAAGCCACACGCCAATCACGCCACAGCCAATAATTAGTCTGCAGATTGAATATACGATGATATTCGGTGAAAATGCACACGCAGTACCTGCAACCAGCATGCACAATACTGCCAACATCATTGAAGGCATACGACCAATTCTGTGAGTGTGAAAAATGAGTACGGTGAATCGTTACAGGCTGAATGTATTTACACATATCAACATTAAACAAGAAATATCAACAAAAGTAGAAAAAAAAAGAAATACGTCGTCGTCAAAGTGTGGTGAACGCATCAGTTAACATAATTTCGGATTAAATTTTTTTCGTTTTAATATTGTTGTGATTTTAACCAACAATGAAATCTGTTTCAATGAGTTGTATATTGTATATATAACACAACACATCTTAAATGTCATCTACATCATCATTATTTCAAAGGCGTGTTAAAAATGTTTCAACCCTTAAAACATTGTATAACAGTATTAAATATTATAACTGTACTCACTTGTCAGATAAAGCACCGAAAATTACCCCTCCGACCAATAATCCTAGTTGGAACATAGAGGATGATAAAGCAGCGAGGAAATAACGATTGCAGACCAAATCAAACTGAAATGTAACGTCAGAATATTCACTTAATAAAATGTTGTTTACTATATATTTATTTAACAAATACAAGCGATTGGAATTACAGCAGTTCATTTGTTTTATCGTTATTGTAATCGCGACATTTTTGTCGTCTTGGGATGCCTTAACCCCAACAAACAATATCTTATGTAACAAATGACTGTCCACAGGGTTACATTTGGGTAGTTTATCCTGCAAAATCAGTTTTGAATATCACTCTAGGTGGAGCATACAAATTCAAAGCTTTTTGAATTTTGTCCAGTTATCTGAATGTGTCTGTCATGTCTCTGTGTGTTAGGTTTCACTAAGTGAACCGCGATACTTAATCTAGAATTGAATTTCTGTAATTTTTGTATAAAGCCTAAAGCCTAAAATGTGATGTAGACTTGCTTCTTTGACAAATACTACAACTAAACTACATTTAGCAGAATTTCGTTCAAATTTGATTCGAACTATTGGTCTTCTCTAGAGAAAACAAGCACATGTTAAGGTACTATGTTGTGACAGTGTTTGGAGCTATATGCCAGATGTAATTGTTGGCAAAGTGTGCTTGCAAATTTGAATAGCTGATTTTAAGTTCATGAGCGACAGTGACAGTGGCAGTGGAAATGGCAGTTACTGTGCTGTGTCGTTATATCTGAGTGGAACCCTAGATTTTGCGGCGTCACTGCAAATCAAATGTGTAAACATGAGTAAATTAAATAAAACTTCACTAAAACTTATTCAATAGACAACTAGTTTTGTATTATGCATATGTTTGTTCGGCTTAGTATTTGCATAAACATGATGAATTAGCGTTAATTTCTCACCTCCTGAAATACGGTTGATTTGTACTGCGATCGGTCGTATCTCCATCCATGATTACATTTCATAGTATCATTGGAGTATGACAGGTTTTCATAGCGTTCACAATTACCGTAAACCAAACCACTACCACACTGACTAGAGCTTTCCATTGATGGGATACTGTGGTTCTTCATCATATCTTGGCAAAACATTACTGTGTTGCTCACATTGCAATCTTCTTCATATTTTTCCAGCTCCGGAATATAACACCAATGGTCAGTTTCAGCAGCTAAGAATACTTGGGCAAACGCATGAGAGGCCGGTAGTGTGTAAACAAGGCAAAGTAGAAAGTATGCACGTTTCTGGTAGAGTCCAAACTCTCTCAAATACTCGAGGACATCATCGAACTGCAGCATTTTATTTGTGTGTTCTGTACAGTCTTGGGTCGCTTAGAGGTAAAGTACGTTGCATGCTTTGCATATTTTTTTGTGGAGTTGTAAAAATAAATCACGGTGCAATGAATCACTGCTACATGTCATGTGTGACCAAGGGTGTAATAGGATCAAGGTTATGAGTGGGGCAGTGAAACCATGTCAGGTAAAATATATATATATTTTTTTAATTTGGTCGTATTATTATGAGGTTATTAAGAGAATACCGTAAAGTATGAACGAAGGCAGTACGGTAGTCACATCGCGCGGCGGTCAAGGAGGTGATAAACGCTGACTAAAGAAACTTTATTCTTTTAATTACTTTATTTGTATATTGTTCCATACGCCTGTCTTATAACATCAAGACGCGTAATTTACAATTTATCAAAAAACTTAAACTTGACATGTTATAAACGTGCAGTCATCTCGGGCATTGTTTTTGTCTTTAGTCAATCTGAGTCTGTGTAATCTGTATCAAAAGTGACTTATGACCTCGTGCGCAGAACAAAACACTGTTAATTTAATGATTACTTTGATCGTAACGATTACTTGCATCGCTTAATAATCACTATAATTACAAACGATTCGTACGGTTGATTGATGTGTGCAAAGACGTTTATAATTTTACCATCGTCCAGGGTCTACACAGGCAGCGAAATATTTATAGGTGCGCATGGGTGCCCCAAACACAACAACAAAGCCGAATTGATGTCCACAATACAGCTAAGGAGAATGGCAAACTGAATACATTTGCAAGGTTTTGGCGGCAGCAAACAGGCAGAATACCAGCCTCCATGCATGGTCAGTCATATATGACGAATAGAACGCAAATCATAGCATGAGCAAATGTGTCAAATAGGAGAATTACTGAATTTTACTTTTCATGGTGGATGTAAAACAATAATCTCACACATTCGCTTGTAAATAAAAAAAATATAGCCTGCAAAAGTTTATATGAAGACGTTTCAACCGGAAATGGATAATAGTTGCACAGAAGAGACATCAACAACTTAGCTGTAGGTCTCTCTTTTTAATATACTTATTAATGTATACCGTCCATCTTGAATCTATGGTTTAACCCGAAACGAAAATATAGAATTATTTCAATTGCATCATTCTTACTTATTTTTTATGATCGCATGAAATGGCAGATAGATATGTGATAAGACAAAATTAAAGGGCACTGGTCATTGCTCCGCTCCTGTTCGATATGGGAACCACAAAGACGTAAATAACGTGTGTAAAATATATTATATGCTTACTAAAAATCGAACATGCCCGGCGCGACTACCACCGATTGACGGCCACCGCCATTCCCCTTCCCAGAGTTCATTGCGGTTAGATCACCGAAAGTATCTCTGCCACCACACACCGCCGTTTTGTGGTGAAACACCACAAGACTTTTACTACGCGTATCATTTGTGTATTTGCGTATTAGAGGGCTCTCGTGTTGATTTATTTCTACTGAAAAACAAGTTTTAAAACATTTTATCGATAGCTGATAACGATTTTTTCCGTAAATGCACTATCAAGAAGGATGAAATAGTTATAATTTAGAAAATAAAATAATTTCATCGCGGAATAATGGTTACTAAGGTGTTAATCGGTTCATCAAACTGACCGTCCTGTCGATTGCCAGGCAATGAAAAATGAAGAAGCGAAAGCACTTAGGGGTATTGACCGCTAAATCGTCCTACTGTTACACCTGTGTGTTACAGAAAGTAACAAAATTAGACAGAATCTACAAACAACGCGTATTCTTTCGTTGGGTTCGAAAATCGAACACCTGCATGTTTTGTTTGGCGTCTTTGAAAGTAGTGCCACTGTGCCGGATCGACCAATCAACGACAAGCATATGATCGCGTGGTGGCAGAGATATATATTCGTAGAAATATAATTCTGCCTAGGAGATTGGGCCACCGCGTGACTACAACTGTGTGACGACAACCGCGTAACAATCACCATCATTTAATATAGTTGATGATACTATGTTGATGATATACAACAATACCTTTCAATTGATTAACGACTTTTAATTGATTGGTATAACCTGTATTTTGTTACGAATGAACTAATGATCAGTAGTGATTCCTTCACTTTCTCCCGAATTTAATATGCCCCTTTAGGTAGAATATACCTCCATGTATGCATTATAACTTTAATTTTTTATCTTCAATAAGATCAAATTTTCAATTCAACTTATGTTCCATCTTTGCCAGCCAAAGACCATTTATTCGGCCGAAGTCTCAACATTACCCTTGGCAGATTTCACCACGATTTACTGTATACCCTCAACCTATTATAAGATTCACTTAGTCTCATTTGCATTACCCAATCAAAACTAAAGAAAGAAATTACACATTACTTGGTAAAATCATAGACCTATTTCTAAGGTCTATGGTAAAATTAAAATGGCGGAATCAAATAAACGTGTTGCTAGCTTTTTCTCTTTTTGTGAATCAGCGCAAAGCCAACACGCCGCCATTGTTTTAATCTGTGATGAGCTCGTCGATCTTCACATTTATGACATATTAACTCCGATTGGTGGCGCCAACTCCTTTGCGTGCCCAAATAAAATAAACTCAATTTAGCTGCAGTGAAATACAGCTTTTTCTAACACGATCACGTACAGGTTCGTGGGCCAGTTTTGAATGGCCGGCTTTAGCGAAACTGTGCGATTCGGACGATGCTTATGTTTAGGTAAACTAGAAATGAGAGTACGTAACCCAAGCTCAGGTCACACAAGTGAGCGAGTGTTATTCAGAGCCGATATGCCGTCCATCGCGAGCTATCGAAATACTTTGTTTACTCAACGCGATTGGAATGTTTATGAACCTGGATCCGTCTCTGCAGTTGACGCGGGGGAGTCGTCACCTGCGCATGCGTCAGATGGCCATAACGTGTAATTTTTTACAAACAAGCGTCTACCCATGAGCCTTTGCGTGTTCAGAGCGTGTTGTTATCGTCGCTTCGGACTCATTTCCCGCGCGTGCGCAGGTGACAACCCTCCCGCTTTAAGCATTGCTTTGAAAGACAAGTTGTGTCACGGGGATTTGTTTGTTGTGTATATTTCAAACAGCCTATAATTGAAAGTAGTATTCATCCTTAAAAAAACATTTAGAAATTCTCATTAATTCTCGTTAATTATTGTTATTGTAAAAATCATTTTAACTGGTGTAAAAACACGTTATTTGTGAATACAGTGAAGGGCAGAAAGATGGATTGTTATAAAAGTGTTATAAACCCCCAAAAAAGTTGGAATCCAAATTTATGAACCCAGAAATGTTATTGTGACATCATCGTTAGTTCTAATAATGAGTATCATTATAAGTATCTCCATAAAATTGTGTTAAAGCTTCCATGTCCTGCATCCGTCAAACGACAATAATGCGCATGGATACAAAAGGGCGAGTCACATGCAAAGATCAAATTAGTAACGAGTAAAAGTATCCAATACGCAACACAAAGTAAACAATACTATTTTAATGCGAAATGGCACATCCCCAAAAAAGTGAAGCTATTCTGACTGTCTGTTTCGCGAGACTCTCCTCACATCCAGAAATACTCAAAACTGCCACTAGAGGGAGGCAGCCACAATAATTTAATACAACGTTTGATATCAAGAACCTGAAATTCAAAGAGTCGAATTATTATAATCTCGATGACTGTCTTTTATAGATGATGAGCGACAGATCACACCCTTGTTTGTCACGTCGGATGCCTGTTATTTGTCATCGCTCCATTCATTATAAGAGGGCAAAACTTAACGTTGCCATGACAACTTGCAAAGAATCATACAGAATCACACTGGTTTATAAACGATTATATGTTTTGATATGTTGTAAAAGTAATCGCCTCGTATGTAGAGAGAGGGCAAACGACATCATGACAAAGGATTACTCGACACACATAAAGTTCTAACATGTCCAACGTCTTTGTTCCTACTTGCTATACTTAAATACAGCAGCAACCCCTTTGTACTTAGCGATCTGAATAGTAAATATTGAATTATATCGCTATTACGCTTACCAAGTACTAGCATGCGTTCCTCTCACATCCTCTCCAGTCCACTCTACTCTACCCTACATATTTTTCGGTAATCGATTCACACCACGCGATATACTTTGACAAGGTGTTATAAACTGTCGCCGGTGTTATTTTTCACCGCGGGGTAAACAGGGGGCGCAATTCGAATTCATAATTCATTTCTTTGCAGTCGAACAATTGACAATGAACGATCTCCAGGTTTTCCTCGTCAGCTATACCAGTGCTGACAAAAGTAATGAAAAAACACAATATATGATAACATATGCATGTGATGAATAACAGTGATTTACATACATATAATTTATTGCATTGAAATTAAATATGCACATAAATAATGAGCTTAACCATCATTATATCATCCACTGGAATGTGACTATGTCTGCAGTCAGTTTACTAAACGAGTATACTTTTCTGTGGACGGAAAATACATTTTGTTAATGAGTTATTGGCGTCGGTTTTCTGCATCTTGCTGCCATGCATTACATTTAAGGACAAATGAGTTTTCAGAGATTGTCACTGATACTGAGGTAATACACCACCACCAAAGGCGGGCATATCGCAAGATTTTGCACAATACACATTATATAAACATATACAAACAAACAAGTATCTGGATTGAATTGTACAAAATTGAGTACCCGATTTTGGCGGTGGTTTATTGTCACTGTATTAAACCAGCTTTATTTCAAATGTAATTCTGAGTTAGGAAATTGACTTTAAAGTATCAATATCAGTATCAGACGGCACACATTTTTGTCATCGTTTGCGATGAAAGTCATTTTACTGCACGATTTACTCCTGCTGTGTGTTATTCACGTTTAGGGTCTACTTCTGAACACGAACAACCGTGATATGAGGTTATTTTACCAGGACTTACATAATTATAAACACGCTCTTGTCCAACCGGAACGGGCGTCTAAAATGATAGCATAATATTAAATACTTACTTCCCAAACATTTCACCATCCTGAAGCGTCTCTGGAAGTTTCTGATGACGTATTTCCGGTAACAATAATGTTAATAACCCAGCCACAATAGACGTTGATCCAAATATGATGAGTGGTAATGGTTCCCACAATGCTTTGATTAATATCATTTGTGGTGCTAGAATCCCACCTATTCTACCACACAGTGATGATAGACCCATTCCGATGGTTCTGAAGTAAATTATTATTATTTTAGTACTAAGGTAGCGAGGGGAGTTTGATGACGTTTTCGAATAAAGAATTCTCTGTGTGTTGTCTCATTCAGAACCGCAATCCAGCGTATATAATTGAAAAGCCTAAGTATAGAAGTAAAAATGCCCAAACTGGACAGTCATTGCATGCATAATTACCACGTGACTACACAAATTACGAACCTTGTAAACATGACTAAATCCGCGATTGCTAGAGACCACTCGGAATTTCCGGGTGAAATTTGCGCCATGCATTTTCGTAAATTATTAAATTAGTATTATTCGCATTTCCGTAAATATACACAAATTCGAAAATTTTAAACATTACTTAATAATGTACCTGACAGGGGTTGGGTAGATTTCACCTGAGAATACGTATAATATATTGAAAGCAGCTGTAATGGCGAATTTTCCGATCATCGCCTAGGCAATGCCAATCCATTCCAATTTACCTGAAAAAATAATATCTAAATTTGAAAGTTTTTATCTTCTCCATTTGTAGATTTTGCAGAGATGGCAATTATTCATTTGTCAATGCACCTCTTTCCACTCTAGTAAATGTTACGTGTTTTCCATTGTTGTCAAAGGCGCAATTTTAAAAAGCTAGAAACAAACAGATGTTTTGGGTATCAATGTGTATGATGATTTATGTTAAAATGACCAGCAAGAAGATTTTAGATATGCTCCCATTTCCTGACCCATTATTGGTGTGCCAGTTGTAGTATATATTGACAGTGTGTTGTTGGTTTATGAAAATGTTTATATTGATGATAATTCCATACAACAGCATCCGCAGAATGATGTAAAGTTGAACTATTAGCAGTATACTTACATCATTCATACATCCAAGATATACATGTACTTACAAGACGGGGTAAATAGAGTAAGTATACATGCCAGTCCCCCAAGTATTAATGATAATGACTGCGACCAACGTCGTCCTAGTCTAGTTTCAGGGAGAAGTATCTAAAATAATGGCTGGCATTTCAACTGCGCCTGAGACAAAGGCGTTCAAATAGTCGTTGCCTCCAAGATTTGAAGTGGTGAGTGATAGACCATCGTACACCATGGCTACGGTAAACCTGGTAAAACATAATGTGTGATAACATATACATATTTATCGCATCTGTCCACTGATAGAAAAGCAATGTAGCGTGGCTCAAGTTTACATTAATGAACGACAATTGTAATAAAATATATGTCCTACCACATATAAAATGTGTTGAATGTTTTCTTCCTCATATTTGGCAAATGGAATAGATCAAGAACGTTTCCCTTCTCTTCTTTATTCTGTACAGAACACAAGATACATTCAATGAATTCGACTCGTAATGATCCACGCGATGATAGATATAACATATGATAAAAACCTTCCGTTTTCAACATTGTGAAATTCTTTCGTTTTTATGGAGGAAAATGGAGTTATTGTTCTTCATTCAGCTTCTTTCAGTGATAATTCATGACAAATAAATATGCAAAAATATTAACGTGTAACCGGTAAATACATTTCGTTATGAAGTAATCTTAATATAATTCTGAATTTCAATTTTTTTCTCAAAAATTTGATTTGTGAATCTCCCCGCTAAATCTCGGAGGTAAATATATCTCTATATAAATCAACATAAACCTTCATAAAAAAAATTAAGCATGAATACCTCTGCTCCAATTCAAATGTCCATCCCGAGACAAACACCATG